TCTTTCACAAATGTTTGTAAAAACAGTCTGCATGCCTAGGTGCTTGAATTTATACACCTGTGGCCATGGAAGTGATTGGAACACCTGATTCCAATAATTTGGATGGGTGAGCAAATACTTTTGGCAATATAGTGTATATATATGTATGTAGAATCGGCACAACATCTCGGTTACACTGTGAAAATAATAATTATTGTCCCTTAAAACCCTGTATCGGTCCATCTATAATGAAGGTTGTTATAGTTTTGATGAAATTATTAATTTTATGAATTGTAAGTAGATAAATAAACTAAGTTATTTAATTCATTATTTGCAGACAGCATTTTTTCTTCCTTTTTTGAAAAAATGTCTACATTAACCCATTTTAATGTTTTGTCTAAAGATAATTATCTCTGGAAAAAAGGAAAAAACTAGAGATTATGGTCAAACCTAAATCTAAGATGGAAAAAAATGTTTTCAAAAGATTGTACTGCTTTTTATTTAAATACAAGTTGTTTTTTGATCCCTCTGTAGTATATCACTCTGTTATTATTATCAATTAAAGTTCTTGATATTAGATCTCATGCAAAACATTATAACCTCATTATTATAAATGGATTATCAGCTATTTAGCTGAGCTACAGAACTGTGTTGTGATTTAACTGTATGTGTAGCAACCAGAGACAGGATAAACATGGGGGTGATGTTGGCTTGTCTGAGATTACTGATTGTGTTTATATCTTTGTTTGGCTCCCATTCGGCCTCGAGAGACCGGTAACCTCAACATGGACTCTCATGCAAAGTAGAGCAAAGTTCATCATGTTGATATGTAGACTGATTAGCTTCTATTTCTTGCTACACCAGCTTTTCCAGAAATCAGATCATAGCTTAGATAAATATGACAGTAAGATTCATAAAGTTCATTTTTGGGTTAAAACGATAAGCAAGCAAAGCTTTCGCTTCCATTCAGGTACACAATCCTTATAAGTAAACCTAAACTCAAAAAGACAAAAAAAAAAAAAAATGAAATTCCCATCTTTAGTATTTAATAAGTACAGCATTATATTTTTTCTTGCAATCATAAATGATCCAAGACTGGTATCAGTTAAATAAATAAACGAATAACCTATGATGAGTAATAAATGCATGTTAGGAAATATGGAATAAAATGTAAAACTTCTTAATGTGATAATTCATTCAAAATATAAAAACACGATGAGGAACACCTTAAAGGTTGGTTCCCATTCTCCTTTGGAAGAACCTTAATTGTACACTTAACAAGATGTCAGAAACCTTTTACTCCATATTGTTACGAGAGACAGTATTATGCATTTTCTGGAGCTGCACTTGTTATTGGAGACCATGAAAGCATATATAATCAAGGCATAGCCGCATTTTCTACCAAGTTTATTTAATGACGTGGAAAGGCTATAACTAGTTTTGTTCAACTGAAGCTACATTATTTTTCCTGTTAAGCTAAAGCTTTAGAGTTATTGTGGCTTTTTTAATAGACTGATGTTGAACACATGCTTTGAGGCTTGTCTATTGTGTTTTTAATAAATGAGAATGCCCGCTTCACGCTGGCCTTTCTAATTTTGTCCAAACAGATTTGTGGCCATGTGTTAAGGTGTTTTCTTGCTCCCTGATGTTTTCCTGTCTCTGGTTATTCCAGATAAACTCATATATTGTGCTCCATCCTGTAGGGTTATTTAGTGCGCTTTCTTTATTGAGGTGTTGTGCAATCTATGTCCTTCCTCCTCTGGTAGAATAGGCCATTTGACCTACTGTAACCCCTCAATCTCTCAATTTCTGTTCCAGTCTTCTTTTCCTCTCCCACCCAGATGCAATTTAAAAGCTGGTAAATCTGTCTTATATATTGAACTCCCTCACTAAAGGGAGTTTAAGATTCTTTTTTCTGTTTTTTTTTGTTTGTTCCCCTCACCTTTATATGAACTCATGCAGTTTTCACAAATCAACATTGTTTCTACTGTTTTTGTCATTCACCTTTCTGCAACACTTTTCTTTGTTCTTATCTGCTTATTTTTCACTTATACCCTCCTTACCTCTGCCTCAGTGAAGCCTCACTTAATTTTCTCTTCCTCTTGACACGACTTTTCCCCCTTTGTCTTTTCCTGTTCTTCAGGCTTGAGAATGACTCCCAGAACATTTGGTTTGGTCTGTTTTTTTTAACCCTGCTGGGCGTATTTTGCTTTAACCGTAAGGGGTAAAAAAAGTGTTATAAAACGTGTTAGGGAACGGAAACTTAGCTGTTTTTTAGAACTTCAGAAGGCAGGAAAGAAGAAGACAGAGAAGCTTGTATGGGGGAAAAAAAGAAAAAAAAAGGTTACTAGGAGTCAATTCCATGGAGCTAAAGCTTTATGCATTTACCTTTTAGCTTTCAGAATAAACACCAAGACATGTGAAGGTCTAAGAGGAATGCCTCAACAACCACACAAACCGAAACACAACTAAAGCACTTTTAACTTTTGTTTCCTTTTTTTTTTTTTTTATGTTGGTTTCTGTACCTCATAGCCGCAAAGAGAGAAGTTCCTGAAAAAACAAAAACATTATTAACCTCCATCTTGTCTCATAGAATACCTTCTATCATTATTTAAATGCTGAATCTCTTTCCAGGTCAAGAGCGAAGGACCCAAACTGGTGCCTTTCTTTAAGGCAACCTGTGTTTACTTTGTCCTGTGGCTGCCCACCTCCAGCCCATCCTGGTTCAGCGCTCTCATCAAATGTCTACCCATCTTCTGCCTGTGGGTCTTTCTGCTGGCTCATGGATTCAGCTTCCTCTGTGATCACTCCAGCGCCCGTAAGATTTTGGCTGGTCTCATCTTTTCGGCTCTGGGGGATGCCTTTCTCATCTGGCAGGAGCAGGGCTACTTCGTCCATGGTGAGGAGAAAAATAATGTTTTTGCTATAATTCTAACAAGGTTCATCTATTTTGGTCATAACAATAAATTCAAGGTTTACAAAACGAGAACAGAAAAACATTTCCTTTTGTTTTTACCATTCATAAATGTGGATAAGCACTTGAAATTAACTCTAGTTTTCCTTCACAAACTTGTACTGAAGTTCTCTATCAGTGACTTCTACAAATGAAGTGTTAGAGATTTTTATACACCTGCCATATATCACAGTCATTGTGCATGATGGTCCAACAGACGTTGGTCCTTACCCAGCCTTGTTTGTCAAAGTTTTAGTTGTTTTAAACATCTTAACTAAAGCAATGACTCTGGATATGGACAGGTTTAGCTCTTTTCATATCTATGTGCCCTGATCTCCACTCATTCAATTCAAATTCAACAATACTTTATTAATCCCAAAAGAAGATTAAATGTTAATTTAAATCATAGCTTTTTAAAAATGAGTTGCAAATGTTAATAGTTTTAGGCAGGACAAATCTTCTGTAGTTGTCTGTCTTGCACCAGATCTAGAGAAGCCTCTGACTGAAGATCATCTCTAGAGGTTGTAGAGGTATTCCTAAAACAGAACCGACCTTCCTTATCCGTTCATTAAGCTTCTTTAAGTCATTTTCTCTGAATATGTTAGCCCAGCAGATAATGACAGAAGAGATCACACTTATAGAAGATATGTAGCATCTTTCAGCTAATGCTGAAGGACCTTAGCTTCCTTAAAAAGTATAGTCTGTTCTGTTCCTACTTGTAGATGGTTTCCCAGTTGCATCTCCAGCTGAGTTTGTTGTCCAGGTGAACGAGAAAGGTGCTTCTACTCTTATTCCTGTTTCTTCTGGAATCTACAATCATCTTGCTTGTTTTGTTGACATTCAGGATCAAACCATGCCACGAAGCAGTTCACCAGCTCTCTGTATTCAGCTTCTTTTCCATCTCTGGCGCACCCAAGGTCTGCAGAGACGTCCGGGTTATTAACATTAGGGATGCCCCAGTCAGATTTTGAAAATTATTCCAACCTCAGCCCAAAAACAAATATCAGAATTTATCAGCCTACATCTAAAATCTAGGATTTAAAGTAAGCATGGTAACTGAGATAACTGTTGAGTATAAATGGCATGCAAACTGAACCGGACCATGCCAGACAAAACCGAACCGCGCTAAACTGGTACTAGTTCAACAGTAGGGCTCGGTACGGTTCAGTGGAGGCTCTGTTCTCAGATAACAAAGACAGCGTCATCTCCTTACAGTCAGCCTCCGTACTCATGAAATTTCAAACATTCATAAAAATACTAGCTTCCCTACCGAGCCACACGATTTCCAGTGATGATTCTGCTTAGCAGTGTGATGAACCTCAGTGTTTGTTGTTGTTTCCTCTGTCTGTAAGCCCTGATTAGAAAATCATTTGTTGTATCCACTTTCCAAAAGCTGACTCTGTGAAGTAAATTCAGAGAGAGAGCAGTAGTACCGTAGATCGTCACTAGGCGGCAAGGAGCCGTGCTTGCATAATGTGTAAAGCCTTCAAGCCGCTGTCACATGTTGCCGATTTATCCAGCGTATGCCTGATGTCCCAAAATCTTCTAAAATGCTGGAATACCTGAATTTTATATGTATTTTTTCAATTTTGGGAGTATAAATAGAGTACTCTAGACAAGTCCAGAACGTATGTCCAACGTCAACCTAACTTGGCATCGTAATGGCATCGTAATGCCAGTGTCCTGGGGAGGCTGTAATGCACCTGAAGATGCCCGGCCTGCATAAAGAGATTTATTTGATAGCGTTTGTAATCTAGCTCCCGTTTACTGCCCGCCAGAAAAAAATTAAATAAATAAAAAAAAAAGAAAAAAGACAAGGAAGACAGAAGGTTTGCAGTCACAGCAGATTAAGCGTCATGTCTGCTAGGAAGTTCCTTGGTTGTGGCTGTGGGCGTGAATGCATGGAGGATCTATCACACTCACCTTCACGCTCACCCTATGATCAGGATGAAGTCTGAAGGAGTACTCCCGGTTTCCTCCTGTGAACCCCCTTTCATACCAGAAATGCTGCCACTACACCATTATACAGTAGCTGTAAGTTAGAAACACATTCAGTGGTCATCTGGAACACGTCAGATACGTTGTTATGCGTTGGAGATAAGTTCTTGATAAGTCATGCATAAGTTATACACAGGTTACTCATAGGTCTTGGATAAGCCAGACACCACGACTTATGAGTAACTTACACTTAGTGGTAGTGAGAATGTTTGGGGCATCTTTAATTTTGCTTTCTAGGACCCAGTGCTAAGGGAGGAAGGCCAAGGTCAAGAAATTTTGAGCATGCCATACTTGCCCTATGTCAACGTGTGCCAGCATGCTTCAGAATGGTTCAGCGTGCTCATAACTTATATAAAACTGACCCACAACTTATCCTATGTACACCAGCGGTTTTGCCAGGTTTTTTCATACATCTGGCATATACCTGCTAAAACGTCAACGTGTGACAGGGGCTTAAGGAACCAAGCTCTGCAAGGTTAACTAATCCAAGCTCGGTCCAAACTCAGCACGGATCGGTTTCAGATGGTAGTATAAATGGGGCTTATTGCTCTATGAGTATTATCACTCAATCAAGCCTTTTGTGACTCTACAAAATGAGTATTAAAAGTGTTCATTTTATTATTTTAAAGAAGAACTCCAAGTTAGAGAACCTCTGGAAAAAGGCCTCTTGGGGTCATCAAGTTCCGACAATAACTAATAACTTTGAGGTGTTGGCCAGAAGATTTTTCTCTCGTGACATCACAGACATAAATATTTGGACTCGGCTGAACTTTACTTAGACCTTAACTGGAAATGTGTTTTGGTCAGATGAGATTTGCTTTACTACAGCAACCACTCTAGCTTGGTCTGATGTAAAGCACAGGTAAAATACTGTACATGCAGTCATGTCACATGCTGGCTTCTATGTACTGTGGAGCTTCAAGGATGCTGTGGGCCTGTTTCTTCTCCAAGGGCTCCAGTTTAGATTGTATCAAATAATTTAAATAACAGAAATCTCTGAATGAAACACTTGAAATAAAACACAGTCACTGATACCGGGTTACCGTTGAGTCCTTTAGTTGGTGGATAGTTCAGCACAAAGGCAGAAACAACAAGCAACCATCACAGACTCCGATCTAAATTAAATAGGAAACCTGTTAGGTGAGCCGAAGAGAATAGACAACATCAAACAAGCTAGACACTGACTTGTTTAAAAGGGTAAGTATACAGATTTAACTGCTTCACTTATTTTATTGTTCAAAGAAGCGGTGCCTGGTGTGCAACAGGGGAATTGTTAAAATAACTATTTTCTAAAGCGGTGCTTTTACATGCTAAGCATGAGGTTATGCTGGAGTAATTTTACTTCTTTTCTACATATGCCAATAAACAAGGAGGTTTCTCTATAAGTGGCAGAGGAATTTGTTAGAAATTGGGCATTTGTTTAATTAGTGTGGCTTTTCTCTTCATTTAGTTGCTTTTGAAAAAATCTTGCCATTTTAAAGTGTTGCTTTTAGAGCTAATCTTAAATATTGTAATGTTTCGTCTAAATCAGATGTCACAGATTAGCGGAACAGGGTTCGGATCTGGACCCACCTTCTGGCTAATCCGGACCCAACCTGATTAAAAAAATGTATAAATTACCACATGTTGTCCGATGACAGTGTCTAAACTTCACTTGCGCATCTTCGCCTGTTTGTACGGTAAAGCCATCCGGAGCGTCCGGCACCAGGCTGCATGTCATACAAATTAGCCAATGAGCTGTGTCAGTCAGGGCTGCTGCTTCTAGCTACTTTTAGACGCAGCAGGCAAACTTGTGGGAAGCCGGGCGATGGGAAAGAACGAGAAGACGATGAGGAAAAGAGAGCAGAGAAAGTATAGACTGCTGGAAGAACCGCGGTGAACTGGTTAAAGAAACGTGAAATGGTGTGCTCAAAGATGACCCTGCACATTTTGATTATATTTGGCTCAACTTGCTGCTGTGAAGCAGGATTCTCCACTATAAACATAATCAAAAATAAATATCGACCAGGCTCAAAATGAGCAGCTTGATATGTGCTTCAGAATGGCTTTGTCGCCATTCAAACCCAGGTTTAAAGCCTTGCAGGGCAGCATAAAGCCCACTTCTCTCATTAAGCCATAAAAAAGCAACATAGAAAACAAACGGTCAGTTCAGGTGTTTTATAAGCTAGTCAGGAAATTGTCTATATACTAAACTGAAAGACTGTTGTTCTCTACTTCAAAAACTATTTAGATTTAAAAATGGAAAAACGTTAAATGTTGTTTAAAGTAACAGATTATAAGTAAAAATGTCTCCGGACCTTTACTGGTTAATGATTTTCTTTATTGGGACCCCACTGATTTTTAATTGTTTACCCCTGGTCTAAATGTTTGCCCCCTTGAAATGAACTCTTCTGCTAATCCCAGGTGTAAAATAAAAGCAGGGACTAACTTAGCTGCTAATGATTTAAAACTGAAGATAAAACTATTCCTGAGAAAACATCTCCACAAAGCATCACAAGGGTAAAATTATGAAACCCATGCCATTGCGTGAGTAACAGATGCCATCCAGATGTGATTTTAGTTTTTCAGTAAAAAATGTCAATAATAACAAAAACAAAACAGGATGATTGTTTCAACTACAGAATTTAATGAAATGTTTTCAAAAAGCACAAAAATAAAACCATCAGTTCTGATCAATGTATTTAACCTGATTAAACATTCATTTTCTGAAGTGCACGGTCATACTGCAGTGCTTTATGCCAATGCTGTCATGTCTTGCAGGTCTTCTTATGTTCGCCATCACCCACATTCTGTATTCGTCTGCCTTTGGGATGAAGCCGATCAATGTGCAGGCTGGGCTGGTGATCACCGCTGTGTCCTCCCTGTGTTACCTCCTGCTGTACCCATACCTGTCCGGCCCCTTCACCTACCTGGTGGCCGTCTACATCGCTCTGATCGGCTTCATGGGCTGGAGAGCCATAGCAGGCTTGCAGCTGGCCAACGACCTCTGGACCTGGACCAAGCTGTCGGCCTGCCTGGGCGCCGTCCTCTTCATGGTCTCTGACCTCACCATTGCCGTCAACAAGTTCTGCTTCCCTGTGCCCCATTCCCGAGCCATCATCATGGCAACCTACTACGCCGCACAGATGCTCATAGCCCTGTCGGTGGTCGAGTGTCAGGATGTGGAGGTGTCCCGGAAGAGAACATGAAGTGTTGTGGTTTCTGGAAAGTACAAGGCTGTAGAGGTGGTTCCAACTCCAGCCTTGAGTGGCTGTGGACACCCCTCACTGCCAGATCCCAAACCCCCAGCCTTCATCTCCATATGGCGCTCCCACATGACTGTCATCATGCCGACTGATCCTCTCCACAACACTCCCTCCTCAATCTCACTAGTATGGTAGTCTCATATGTATCTCCTTTTAGAGAAGATACAGTTGTATTATTTTCAGCTTCTCCTGAGTGCAATCGAACTTAGAAAAAAAAACCTGGTATCAAACCAAGTTACAGAGGAGAGTTGTAGAGTTACTAACCAATAGGAAGCATTAATGTAGTCGTGATTGGTTTGATTTCAGATTAGCACCTTCAAGCAGTTTGCATGAGAGTGGTTTTCTGTGAGCGTGTCTGTACAGTTTGGCGACTGATTGAAACTCTTACCTCACTTTCCACACAGTGCTCCGACGCACAGACACACCGTCACACATTTGTACTCTGAGTGGTCCATTAACACAGTTTAGCAGTTCATTTGTGTATTTTAATTTTTGCTTTATTGCATGCATAAGTCTTTCAAAAGGGATATTTTTATACAAACCATCCATGCCGCACTTCATTAAGGGTGCTAATTAGCGCTAAGACGATGTTCCTACCTTTTTATTTAATTATTTGCAGTCCATTTCATTTCATTTGCAGAAGCTTCTCTTCTTTTCTTCTTTAGACTCCTGAGTTTGCTTTAGTGAATGGAATATTTATTTAACTTTTGAAGATTTCTTTGAATAACTAGATGAATATAGAGGACTTGAAAGCAACTAAACGGCTGCAAGACTAAGAAAAAAATAGCATTTTAGACATTGGATGCCTCCTTAAGGAGCAGGGGATGTTTTGGAAACCTAATCGTTCAGATTTTAGTTCTGACTTTTGTTTTGATCCTCTTGGTGTAACGTGTTGTTCTCTATACCTTCCTCGCCTTTTGGTGTTATACATTCAATAGCACCATACCCTGCACCTAACACCTCCTCCTAGTTTAGTTATTAGGAAAGTTCATAGGGGGTCTTATTGTGTGAGTCAATCAGCTGACGTGCTGTTAAAGACCGTGTTATGAAAACAGCAAAAGAAAGGGCTTTGTTGATGGCTGGACTCATTTTGTTGATATACTCTGCAGGCAGAGTCTCCAACTCTGAAGGCATTCACTCACTCGGAACAACGCGCACACAGATTTATGCAATGCAACAAACAGAGCCAGCCAGCTTGGGAAAAACAAGGAGACAAGAGAAAGCGTCTTGTGATGCAAGGGAACAGCCATCCCATTATTCCCCATTATTCCTTCTCAAAGGACATTTGGGAAAAATCCACTGCAGATTATCCTCGACTAGTCCGGTCTATTTTTTTTTGTGTGTGTGTGTGTGTCCTTGGATCCTGATGCTGTTTCTTTCCATTCATGTTACTTTGAAGTGTCTTACTGAACTAGGTCTACATTTTTGTATGCTTTTTGTTTTTAGTGTGCTTGTTTTTATGTTAACTGTTGAGTGGAGGTCAGACGCTGCTCCAGGCCAGATACGCTGCACCCCAAAGTTAATATTACACGGACACATGCTCATGTGTTCATATAGAAGCTTTTAAAACCTCCTTTATACTAACTCCTCTTTAGAACTCCAACTCTATTATATAAGTTGTAGCAAATGTCAGTTTATTTTAGCTTTGGTTGAGCAGATCCAAACTGTGACTCTTGACTTTCCTATTACTTGGCACTCTTTTCTTTACCTTCCTGCAGCTTGAAAAAATATTCATCAGTATCCTTTGACCTTTTTCACATTTTGCAGTGGGAGACTAACACAAAGTCGATCATATGTATGTCTTCTGGGGTTTTCCTCTTTGAGTTTTGCACATCAGAAGCTGGAAATGTATCTCCATTTGTCCTTTAAAATAGCTGAAGCTCAGTTAGATTAGTTGAAGAGCATCTGTCTAAATCCATTGTCTGCAACAGATTTGGTTTACTGCAGAAAAGTTAGTGGACCATTGTAAGCTTTAAATAAGCTCTGGTTTGAAGCATTCCATCAAAGCTCTTGCTGAAAGATTAAGGCCATTGTTCTTAGAAAATGTGACCCTCTGACCAAGTCACAGGTCTTTTTCGACTTCTTCGAGATTTTCCTCCAAATTATTCCTTTATTTAGCTCCAACCATCTCCCCATCAATTTTGACCGACTGCCTTCTCCCTCTGGAAATAAGAAAAACATCCCACAGCATGATACTTGCAGCCCTTTGTAGATGATGTCATTTCAATGTTAACTTCAGCTCTAGTTTTCGACCTCGCATCACATTTTGCACATATTTCATTCAGCTATGGATTTATCTTACCAGAACACCTTTTTCCAAGTATTTGCTGTGTCCAACACATTGCTTTTGGCACATTACCGGGATTTTTATAATTTATTATTGATATTCTATTTAACGCGGCTAGATGTCTTTATTTAATTTCCAAGTGAGATTAACAAAGCACTTTTTGAATTAGGTTAAATTTTAATGAATTAGTTGAGAGCTTAATCGATTGTTTTCCTGTCAGGAGGTTGTAGATCTTTGCAGCTCCTCCAGAGCTATCATGGCTGCTTTCTTTAATTAAATGTCCTTTCTGCTGGCCTGTCAGTGTAGCTGAACAGCCATATCTTAAAACCACTCCTGTTCTATAATTTACTTTTATTTTCAGTGAAAGGTTCAAATCTTGAGATAATGCCATTTTCTTCCTAACTCTTCTTTAAACATTTCCATGTACTTTGCGCTGATCTCTCATCAAATCCCAATTAATAATTCTAGGTTTTATGGTTTTAACATAAAAAAAAAAGTTAAAAGGGTATGAATAGGCCTGTCAGTCAGCACATATATCTTAGTGGAACTGATAATCCCACTTATTTTCAATCTGGACATTTTTATGCACAATCAGGGTATCATTTCTATGAGGGATCATGTTATCTTTAGAAAACAGCGGATAAGGATGGCTGAGATGGAAAAACCCATATAAAGGTTGTTTATGCTTTGAACAGACATGGAAAGTTGCTGTTCCTTATTCTGGGTCACTGACCCACACAGCTACCACTATCCCTAAAAAACACACACACATTACATCAAAATATATTTGCATCACATGAGCCAACCGCAGCGAGATCTGCAGGCAGGTCATGCTTTTCCATTTGACCGAGAAAAACATCAACTCCCAGCAGGCATTTCACATCACTTTATCAGACTTCCTCAATTGCCTCGTCGCGTCAGTACTTAAGTCAGCACTATCTTTCTCTTTTGACATGTGAGCACCAGTTCTCTGTTTTGTGTTTTCGGTTAACCCTCCCAGCACTACAAAGGTTTTTTTTAGAGTATTTTCCACTGCAGTGAATTTTGTTTTTTCTGCTTAAAAGCCCTCAAACCTACTGTCTCCTAATGAGACAGAGTAAGTAAAGTGAAGAAAATGGAAAACACAGATGATTCCAGTATATAGCTTTGAGTCAAACCAAGAGGGGGATGGCAACATTCAGTCAGGCAGTCTTATTTATCCACAGTGTGTGGGCAATTTACGTAAGCACTGCTCCTTTGCACGGAGCCAGAAAAAGCCTTCTGACTTTTGGAGGCAGGATTTACTAAAGTATTTTTGAAATATCCTTTAAAAAGAAGAAAAGTATTTGAGGAGAGGTTTGTTTAAGCTGTATTAAAAGTATTTTACTTTTTTCCTATTTTGATTTGAACTTCTTGGACCTTCTTACGTTTGTCATAAATACCACAAACGTCAATCTGTTTTAAGGGGGTTTCACTGCTAAACAACTTCTATGTAGTGGATAGTTAAAAATGTAAAGAAAAATTAGGCTGGATTTTCCTCTATCCTTACAATAAAAAGATGGCCAGTCATTATTATGTAAAATCCCCTTTCCCTTTGAGAACCGCAGCAGGTTTTGCGGGTATGCCTTGAGAGAAGCTGTAAATGGCTATCATTTATTTCCATCCATATCCTCATCAATCCAGATTCCTCACTGACCTGCCGATAAAAAGCATCCCCATGGCCTAACTTTGCCATCAACATGTTTCACGCCGGTTCAGGCTTTTGCTTGTCGATCAAAAAGGTTATGTTCTCTCTTATTTTGCCAGAGCTAGTGGAAAACTGTGGCTTTCTTTCAACATTTCAATAATTTGGCAATTGTTCCATAATAGCTGGGTTGATGGGCTTCACAACTCGCTGTCTTTGTAACAGGCTCCTCCACCTGAGCTCCAATCCCTTGGTTGTTTGTCTGAAAAATGCTACTCTTGCTCAACGCTGCCATGCTTTGCAAGTTTGAAGTTTTATACACTAATATTACCCACACTCTGGTATAGACTTATCCACATCTTTTTTCATGACTTGTCCAGTGTGCTCCATGATACTCATGATTATGTTTGTTCTCTAATGATTTCTAAAAAATCTTCAAGGCCTTTAGATTTAGATATACTGTTTAGGATTACAGTGTAATAGCATGCAGAGTGGCTCTATTTACTAATAAGATCATCTCCAAGGGAGTTCATTAGAAAGGATTCTTTTTTGAGGTAAAAGCGGCTGAATGCATATGCTTGCCACACTTTTCAGAAACAATCATTTTCTTTCCTCTGCAGACTTCTGACTTACTTTGTATCGGTCTATAACTTTTGATCTCAATTAAGTAAACTGGTTTCTTATTGTAATCTAGCAAACCTTGAGATTGTTTAAATTGGTAATACAACTTTTGTAATATTATAAAATCATATATTACATTATATAGTAATAGGAAGCTATTTAAAGGACTGGATGTGACGTATCAAACACCCCTTTGTCTCTGGCTTAGTGTTTCCCAGCCAGCCGTGCCTTTCCCCAGAGATGTTATTGTTAAGCGATATTCCACCTAAAATAAGGTGAGGCGCTGAAATATGACACACAGCGGGAAGAGTCGACCCACCCCCACCCCCAATCCATCAGGTTAGCTCCCATCCTGTTTCCCCACAGGTGGCAGACCAGCAGGCGCATCACTTTACCTGCTCTGTCAACAACCCTGTTGTTCTTAGCTTTGCATGCGCAGACAAAAGGAGACCTGGGAGAGCAGCGACGCTTCGTTCTTCACGGCTTGAATTAAGCTGGAACCAGTTGCTGGTGTGTTATAAAAACCAGCTGGCACTTTCCTTTGAGTTTTTATCCCTCTTTTGTATTCTATATTTGAATATTTCTTTTTTTTGATCTGTAATTTGAAACATTTGCTGTCAATGCGCTGTTCTTATGATTATCAGCAGGTGACATTCAACGCACAAAGCTGTAAAGTTAATATCTTTAAAGAGGTATGACGGATCGATTTAAACACCCAGAGGTTTTAGGATGGTAGTTCTCCAGCACCAGGAACATTTATGAGAAGTATGTAAATTACCGCCTTCTCTTTGTATTTAACCTGCAGTGTGCTGCACTTTTCCATACCCAAAGTAAGGCCAGTCAGTCTTTGAAGCTCACCCACCGTAAAACAAGACCTGTTGTGTACTGTACCTCATCAGTTTGAAGTATATGCTATATTGTACTTTTTTTTTTCCAAAAAAAAAGAGAAATTATTTTCATAAACAGTGATTCCTTTCCTTTGAAGTGTTATCAGCCTTGATGTATACGTCTTTCTTTGAGGTATTATCCTTGAGAATCCAAAAGACTAATTTCAGCATTTTATTCCTCAAAAAGACATTTAGTCATTAAAGCACATAAACATGCATCAGTTGTTACAGTTTATCATGTCCTTGATTTTCAGTTTGTGATTGATTTTTCCCTCGACTGTGGAGGTGATATAATTTCTTTGCTGTAGTGAAACTGCAATGAATGTGAATATCTATTGGAAAAAATAAATGCAATTGCAATGCAACTTTAGCATAATGTTTTGGCTTTGTTCTTTCCTGGAAAACAAAGGTGCTGCATTGAATATGTCAGCTGATATATATATAACTCTGCAATGTTTTGTGTTTCATTTGAAGCTGCTGGTCCTCAGCTGTTAAAAGTGCCATGATGGCAGAAAGGGCTGGAGGACAACAAAGAGCTCTGTTCTGGTAACGGCTGCGCTCTATTGTCTCACTGAGGTGGAAAATTTGCTTTCAGCACCCTTTAACCCCGAAAACTGGGGACTGTGTGTCCTCATTTTCTATATACAGTGATGTGAAAAACACTGTTTGGCTTCTTCCAAATGTGCTCTATTTTGCTCTCATACTTAAATGTTTCACATCTTTAAACATGTTTAGAATTTTTAAGGTGAGTTATTTAAAAAATATATATAGTTTTTAGTTATTCATTACAACAAGACCTCTTGTAAAAGAAAAGAAAAATCCTGCCCATATGTTTAATTATGTAATTTATTAGAAGTTATTGAACT